GTGCAGCCCTCAAAATAACGCAGTGCACTGCATGCTTCTGCCAGAGCCCTAAATGCTGTTGCTCCCTTTCGCAGAGCCAGGGCGGAGACCAGAGGGGAGATGTAAAGGCCATGTGAAGTTTTAATCCACCAGTGTTTCGTGTGAGTGTCGCTCGGAAGTTCCCTGGTAGGGTGGCAGCTTGCAGTTACCCATCTGTGTGCAGCGGTAGCGGATGGTGGCCCTTCCTGCGTTTTTCTGAGTTTCCTGGTGCTTCCCAGGACGGGTTGTCCCTGGACGGGTGGGAGAGCAGTGGAGGCACATGTGCTTCTCTCCAGAAAGCATTTGCCAGTTTCTCTCAGCTTTGTTAAAATCTGGAACATGGAAGGACTCCTTAACGCCGGCGGCCACCGAGGCGCCTGCTGCTGTGAATGTAGAGCACTGTGCCTTGTCAATTTGTCACGTCCTATTTGCTGGGCAACCTCCGAGAAGGGTGGGAGGGAGACTGGGAATCCTCAAAGCATGTGAGGTCGAGGGTGGCCTTTTAAGGAGAGGGGAACTGAACAGAGTGAGGGGGACCCTCATTTTTAGGTGCTTTTTGTGATGGGGAAACGGAACAGTGCAATTCAGCTGAAGCTACGCTGTGAGACAGCAGGCTGTTAGAACAGGCTGCCTGGCTGTGAGATACTAGTGCTCAGGAGAGATCGGGGATGAATGTACTGGATTCCACATTGTATCCATAATAGTTTGATTTTTTGGGTTTTTTTTGTTTTTTTTTTTATGTCGGGGAGTTGACTTGTGCTTTGTGGTGAAGCAGGGTCAGCGTTGCTGCATGCTGCTTCTGGCCGAGCCTTTGTCGTGTCTCGACTACCTCTCCCGGGGCACTCCTGGGTAGCTCTGGACGGGGCAGAACTGCCACTCTCTGAGCGTGGATGCCAAGGACTTTCCTTTCAAAGCTTCTACGCCGCTGCCTGTGCCATAAAGGTTGTGCCATCGGCGTGGTGACGCTCCCAGGTTGTTCTGTCAGTGCCGAAAGCTTTGTGCCCGGGTGCAGTGCTTCCCTCTGGAGTCTCGTAGGAGCTGCTGCTCCTTGGCCACCGGTCCCAGGCTCACTCTGCTCTGCCCAGTGCCGTGTGGCGGTAGCGGCCCCTGTGGTACTTCTAAGCAAGAAAAGCCTTGCTAGGAAAGATAGCCGTGGTTTTATTTATTGGTGAGAACAGCTGAGATCATACAAGACGAGCTGATGCGTTGTTTGGGTTGGGTTTTTTTTAAACCTCTGTTTATTGTGATGGTGTGAGGCAGTGCTGGAATGAATGTGATGTTCCTTCTATGCCTGGGGAAGTTTCTGTGTAGGGACTGGGGTTTGTCAGCGTGGCTTAGACCCCACTGAAACTTGCTGTGACAACCACGCTGCTCCGAAACCTGTGTCCCGAAGGCGAGGAGCTTCCTGGGGAGGCTGCCATCTGGCGCCAGCATCTGCACTTCACTTCTGCTGCTGCCTCTTTCTCTCGCCTGGAAAGGTCTGTCTGGGGCAGTGCGGGAGGTATAGACCAACAGGGCAGAAAGACTACTTTAAATGTTAGTGTTGTTTCTGGTGACTTACAGTGAGGCCTGCTCAGCCAGGCAAGTTGAGCTTGTGGTGCTCCAGAGGGATTTCCAAGGTCAGGGGTTGCTTGTGGTGGTGTTTTTAGGTCACAGCTGGGAAGCAGTGTGGCATCACCTTCACTGAAGGTGAGCGGTGTGCCTGTGCGCAGGGCTGCACGCCTTTAAAGCGTTTTTAAAGGCCTTTTCATTTCCTAACTGTGCCGTCCTGTTGTGTGTGAGCTGTGTCTGCTGGTGAAAGACTTCCGTGTCCATCGAAAATGCCTGCTTTCAGAAGTGACTTGAGGTGTCCCCTTGTCAATTCATCTGCACCAAAATGGCTTCCACACTAAAGCTGAGGCGAGATTCCCCGGGGCAAGAGGCATCTCAGTAAACGAGTAATGCAGGTGACGCTGGGCAGACGAAAGCTCCCTGCGTCCTGCCTGACCCGCAGCTCTGGAGAAGTGCTCAGCACGGGAGCTTGTTTCCTGCTGGAAAATGACCTGATGCTATTGGGGTTTGAGGAGGGAGGGATGAACTTTTTTCCTG